ATCATATTGTGATTTTTTTAAAAAAAAAAAAAACAAGGTCTCACTATGTAGCCCTGGCTGACCTGGAAATCGCTATGTAGACCAGGCTGGCCTCAAACTCACAAAGATCCACCTGCCTCTGCCTCCCAAGTGCTGGTATTAAAGGTGTGTGCCACCATGCCCAGCCCAGTTCTTTTATCGCCTAAGGTTTTAGGGTTGGAACTCAGGTTGTCAGGCTTGGTGACAAGTGCCCTTTACCTGCTGAGCCATCTAGATGGCTTTTGTTTTGTTTTTTTGAGACAGATGTAGCCCTGGCTAGTCTGGAACTCATTATACAGACCAGGCTGCCTCAGAGATCCACCTGCCTTTGGAGTGCTGGGATCAAAGGTGTCTGCCACCACTGTCTGCCTGTTTAGACGGCCTTTAAATTTTTTTCCTGAGAGCTAGAGAGATGGTTCAGGGGTTAAGAGCACTGGCTGTTCTTGCAGAGGACCCAGGTTTGATTCCCAGCATCCACATTGGGGCTAAAAACCATCCTCTTCTGACCTCCACGGGCATTGTACAGCATGGGTATACTTACATACATATAGGAAATACACTCATACACAAAAAACAAAAATAATAAATAAAATATTAAAAAGTTTTCAAAAAAATATTCATTTATTTATAATTATGTGTATGTGTCATGCAGTTCCTAAGGACAACAGAAGAGGGTGTCAGATCCCCTGGAACTGGAGTTACAGACAGTTGTTAGCTGCCATGTGGGTGCTAGGAATCCAAGTCCTCTGCAAGAGCAGTCAGTGCTCTTAACTGCTGAACCTTCTCTCCAGCCCCTTTCCTTTCCTTTTGTTTTTTGTTTTGTTTTGTTTTGTTTTTTTGGTCTTTTTGAGACAGGGTCTCCCTGTAGCCCTGGCTGTCTTGGATTCACCATGGAGACCAGGCTGGCCTCGAACTCACCGAGATCTGCCTGCCTCTGCCTCCCGAGTGCTGGGATTAAAGGCATGCACCACCATGCCCGGCCCTTTTGTTTTTTTTTGAGAGAGTGTCTCCCTAGAGCCCCAGCTGGCCTGCTTCCTGAGTGCTAGGCTTAAAGGCATGTTTTTCACCTTGCCTAGTTAATTTTTTTTTAAAGGTGTTTATTTGTTGTTGTTGTTGGTGGTGGTGGTAGTGGTGGTGTGGGGGGAGGTATGTGTGTATGTGGGGGGGCACATGCACCATGCATGTACATGGAGGTAAGAGGACAACTTTTTATTTTTTATTTTTTGTGTATAAGTGTATTGCCTGCATGTATGTAAATGCATGCACCTATGTCGCACTGCCTGAGGAGGTCAGAAGAGGATGTTGAATCCCCTGGAATTACAGATGGTTGTTATCCACCATATGGGTGCTAGGATTTGAACCTGGGTCTTCTGCAAGAGCACGGGTACTCTTAACTGTTGGGTCATCGCTCCAGCCTCAGAGGACAACTTTTGAAAGCTTGTTCTCTCCTACTACCATGTGGGTTCCAGTAAGAGAACTCAGGGCCTCAGCCTCCACAGCAATTGTCTTTAGCCACAAAAATCCCTTCCAAAAAATAAATAAATGTGATAGGAGCACAGCATCTCACCAGCCTTTGAGACAGGGTCTCTCTGTAGCTCCAGTTGGCCTAGAACTCAGAGATTCATCTGCCTCTGCTGGGACACAGATCTGTACCACCATGCCCAGTTTCCTTTGATTTCTTGAGACTGGAATTTCATTGTGTAGCCCAGGTCACCCACAGACTCACAATCAGTCTGTTCCACCTCCAGAGTGCTAGAATGACAGATGTGTACCACTATTTCTGGCATGTTTCCCCTTTCTTTTCTTTCTACAGGATTTTTAAGTTAAAAAAACAAAAACATGGGGCCTGGAGAGCTAGACGGCTCAGTGGTTAAGACTCCTGATGCTCTTGGAGAGGACCTGGGTTTGGTTCCCAGCACCTACATGACTGCTCACTCACAACTGTCCTAACTCCAGTTCCAGAAGATCTGACACCCTCTTCTGACTTCTGTGGACATTGCGTGACATGGATGCACTTAAATACATACAAGCTAAAAACTCAAACATATAAAATAAAAATAAATTTTAAAAACAAGGAAATAGCTGGGCGTGGTGGTGCACGCCTTTAATCCCAGCACTCGGGAGGCAGAGGCAGGCGGATCTCTGTGAGTTTAAAGCCAGCCTGGTCTCCATGGTGAATCCAGGACAGCTGGGGCTACAGGGAGACCCTGTCTCAAAAAGACCGAAAAAAAAAAAGAAAAAGAAACAAAAACCTTAAGAAATTAAAGTTTGCTGGATCACTTATTATTCAAAACCAGAGAATAATCCCGCCCCACCCCCGTTTATTTTTGAGACCAGGTCTCACTATGTAGCTTTGGCTGGCAAAGAACTCACTATGTAGTCCAGGCTAGCCTTGAATTTACAGAGATCTGCCTGCTTCTTCCTTCTGGGTGCTGGGTTTAAAATTGTGTGCCATTACACCCTACCAACTAAAGCTCATTTTCATTTTTAAAAAAAAGTTTTAAAAAAATATTGTTTAAAGGGAGGAAAAGATAGGTGTGGTGACTTATACCTATAATCCAAGCACAAAGGAGGGAGATCCTGTTGAAAAATAAAAAGAGCTAGGTATGGTGCACATCTATAATCCCACCACTTGGACAGATACACACAGAGATACACAGACAGACCGACAGACTTACACACATACACAGCAGGAGAATGGAAGGAAAGCTGCTTCCTCCATTCCAACACCATGCCTCCCTTGCACAGTATCATTAGCAGAATGGAAATTTAAATCTGCCAATCTGGCTTCCTGGTGACTCATGAAGGTGTACATTGCTGTACACTGATGTACATGATGAGGGCTGTACATCAGGCAGGATGCACATTTCTGCAGAGATGTCTGTAAGTCACCAACATACTGTCTCTCTCCCCCTCCCTCCTTCTGACTCCCTCCTTCTCCCTCTCCCTTCTCTCTCTCTCTCTCTCTCTCTCTCTCTCTCTCTCTCGAACTTCTATTGCCAGGGTGTGTGTTTGAAGGAAGAGGGACATGTAATTGAGTGATATTTTCTGTGCATTCCATTTGTATTGTTATTGTTGCTGAGTTGCCAAAAAAATCAATACAATTTTTTTGAAAGAAAAAGTATGTTTATAAAAAGAGTCTTAAGAGACCTGGAAAGAAGGCTCAGCAGTTAAAAGCACTGGATGCTCTCACAGAGGACCCAGGTTTAGTTTCCAGCACCCATATGGTGGCTCACAACTATCTGCAACTCCAGTTCCAGGGGATTCTATGTCATTTTCTGGTCTTTGCAGGCACTGCACACACATAGTACATATACATACACATGTAGAAAACCATTCATACATATTAAAAAAATATTTTTTAAAAAGGAACCCTAAGGCTGGCAAAGTGGTTCAGTTGGTAAAGGCACTTGCTATGCAAGCCTTACAACCTGAGTTCAATTTCTGGGACCCATGGAAAAGGAGAAAACCAACTCCTCAAAGTTGTCCTCTGGACTCCACATGAATGCTGTGGCACATACCTGCACTCACATACAGATACACATCATACACATACAATAAAAATAAATAAAATTTAAGAGACTACAAATAAAAATAAAAAAACTTAAAGGGGATGAGAGGACAATGGGGGATATTATCAAAGTATATTATATATGTATGTATAAGATTGTGAAAGAGTAAACTTTAAACATTTTTTAATTTATTACTTTTATTTTTATTTTTAAAATATTTTTATATTATCATTTTTTAAAATATTTTATTATTTTTATTTTATGTGTATTCGTGATTTGCCTTCATGTAGGTAAATGCACCCATGTCATGCAATGCCCGCGGAGGACAGAAGAGGCTGTCAGATCCCCTGGAACTGGAGTTACGGACAGTTGTTAGCTGCCATGTGGGTGCTGGGATTCAAAACCAGGTCTCCTGTAAGAACAGTCAGTGTTCATAACCGCTGAGCCATCTCTCCAGCTCATACTTTTATTTTATGCCTATGAGTGCATTGCCTGCATGTGTGTAAGTACACCCATGTTGTACAATGCCTAAGGAGGTAAGAAGAGGGCATCGGATCCCCTGAAACTGGAGTTAACGGACAGTTGTTAGCTGCCATGTGGTGCTGGGAATTGAATCTAGATCCTCTGGAAGAGCAGTTAGTGCTCTCTTAACTGTTGAGTCCTCTTTCCAGTCCTGAAAAAGTAAACGTTTTTTTGGTCTTTTTGAGACAGGGTCTCTCTGTAGCCCCAGCTGGCCTAGAACTCACTATGTAGACCTGGCTGGCCTTGAACTCACAGAGATCCACCTGCCTCTGCCCCAAGTGCTGGGACTAAAGGCATGTGCCAACACGCCCCACCTGAAATAAACTTTTTAAAAGGACCTTAAAGGTCTGTGATTTTTAAAAGGAGGAATGGCCAAAATTAGGCAATACTGGTACCAAAGAATTAAAATCATGTTGAGTAGGACTCTTGCTTGAAAAAGCTGGGAACTACTGTCCAAAACACAAACCTTTTCACTGGATGCTGCTTCATCTTTGCTGATGACCACATTCTTGGATGAGTTCTTTTTGTCAGGAGGGGCCTCTGTCTCATCTTCTCTTTCAGCAGATTTTGAGGAACCCAAACAATGCTGGATAGCAATGAGCTCACTGCCAATGATGAGAGCAAAGAAACAGTATCATGCACATCCACCAACAGACTGAAAAGACCTTGAGAGAACACAAAACAGTGCCAGGCACAGTGGCTTACATCTACAATCCCAGCACGTGGGAGGCTGAAAGAGGAAGACTGGTCACCTACAAATTTTAGGCTAGACTGGGCTACATAGTGAGTTCCATGCTAGCTTAGGCTATAGGATGAGATCTTATCTGAAGGCAAAAAAAAAAAAAGGAATAAAGAAGTATTTATGACAGGTCCTGCTATGAAGCCCACGCTGGCCTAGAGCTCACAATCTTCCTACCTCAGACTCCTGAGTGCTGGGCTGACAAGCACACACTTTCACCTCTAGTTTAAATATATTCTTTAAACAAAAAAGCTTGAGGTTGAATGGAAGAACTCAGATTTGAATAGGATACTATGAGTTAATGTCTATTTTGCAAGTAAGAATTGAAACAAAAAAGAATGCTTACTACTCCTGTGGAGGACCTAGGTTCAGTTCCTGCCCCCACATGGCAGTTCACAACCATCTGTAACTCCAGGTGATCCAATGCTTCCTCCTAGCCTCTTCAGGCTTCCATACATACATGGTACACATAAAACTCATGCAGGCATACATGCACGCGTGTACACACACGCACACACGCGCGCGCGCGCGCACACACACACACACACACACACACACACACCAAAAAAAAACCCTAAAAAACAAAAACTTTAAAAGTACAGAGGGGCTGACAGGATGGCTCAGTGAATAAAGGTACTTGCTGCCAAGCCTGAGGACCTGAGTTTGATCCCCAGGACCCACATGGTGGAAGGGGAGAAGTTGTTTCCACAAGTTGTCCTTTGACCTCCACACAAGCCCTATGGCAAGAACACCCACACCCACACAAATAAATTAAACTTAAAAAAAAATTTTTGGAAGTACAGAGGAAACTGGGTGTGGTGGCAGAGCCTTTAATTCCAGCACTCCAGGACAGGGGTGCAAGCTCAGTAGTAAAGCAGTTGCTTAGCATGCTCAAAGCTGAGTTCAAACCCTAGAACAAAATTAATTGAAAAAAATTAAGAAATAAAGGTGTTAGGGACAAGATTCTCCAAAAGGGAGGGGAAAATATTAATAACTGTATATGGTTAAGCTTGTGAAAAGTTAGGCTTTTGATTGTAAACTAACACGTACCCTGATTTGTAACTGTGATCTGGCACCTGGGTAGCACACTACTTCCCCGACAGCATGAGAGTGGGTACCTTGGTCCCCCTCATAGGCAAACTTCTACTTGTCAAGTGAAATGAGGGCACAAATGCCAACATTTTACTTAGATAATAAGGTAGATATATGGGTTCTTGTAATCTAAGGAAAAACAGGAAAGTATCACTATCTTTTCTAATCATCACACCCTTGTCATGCAATGCCTTGGCATGTGCCTCAGCTGGCAGAACAAGCAGACACTTTAATTATTTGAAGGCAGTGAGGTCAAAGGGGCCTTGAAAGAAAACCCTGATGGAAATCTGAATTCATTCATATATTAAATTAAATATCTATCCACTGTGCTCTCAAAACTATCTCATGCAGGCTTTTCCCTTATGGTAAGAATTTCTTGGGGATTATAGCTTACTGATAGAATGCTTGTCTAACATGAGCAAAGCCCCAGGTTCAATCTCCAGCACTACCAAAATAAAAATAAAAATAAAGAAGGTTCTGGCTTACTAGTAACAAATAGACAGCTGTACTCTACTGATACTTGCAGTTTTCTAAGATCTTTAAAAATCAAAAACTGAGCTGGGCATGGTGGTGCATGCTTTTAGTCCCAGCACTTGGGAGGCAGAGGCAGGCGGATCTCTGTGAGTTTGAGGCTAGCCTGGTCTACATAGTGAGTTCCAGGCCAGTTGGGGCTTCAGGGAGAACCTGTCTCAAAAAGACCAAAAAAAAACCCCAAAACAACAACAACAACAACAAAATCAAGTAACAAAGTGGCAGATTACAAAACCAATCTACAAAAGAAGAAAGAAGAAGAAGAAGGAGGAGGAGGAGGAGGAGGA